TGCTGCTTTAAAGCAGACTGAGCATTTTGATATCTGTCTATTCCCACCTGCTCTGCCACCATCTTTGTCATCTTTCTCTTACTGGGTTAGTGTAGCCAAGCAGCTATCAAAGGTACCTCAGACTCACAAATACCATCAGGGTTGTAGTTGCTGGAGGGGCTGAGCAGTGGGACCCAGATGACTCTACAAATACTTAAGCCAGCATGAAAATGAACTTTGTGTGACTCATCTGTAGAGGCTTTTTCTCACCCGTGGGCTCACAACAACAGCACTGTGCTGTGCTGCTTCCCTGGCTGCCCACTGGTGCACCTCTGGGGCTGCTCGCAGAGGCAAGGTGGAGGCACAAATGTAGCAGACATTTCCAAATGCTGAGGAAAACTGGTGTGAGGGGGCTTGCCTCAAACTACCCACCGGTGAGCGTGGCTCTGCTGTTTCCCTGCACCACCTCTGCTCTGCCTCTTCACTGCTCCTGGCGCTGTGCTGTACACCAGACAAACACTGGAGCTACAGACCACTGTGAGGCTGGGAGAGGTCCTAATGCTCAGGGACTAAGCTGTCAGCAAATGCTCAGAACTCTTAGGAAATCTATACTGTTTTCCATCTCAGTATGTTAATGCTTTTTCCTTTCTTTGTTTTCCTTTGGGTAATGAATAATTGCTGGCAGTAAAAATCTCTGTAGACCCCTCAGCCCAATTGTGCAGAAATGCCTTGCTCTGCCTGCAAAAACCATGTGAATACCCAGACCCAGGCAGGAATAAAATGTGAGATTGAGTATTCCCATGCTTGTTTCCAGCCTAACTCTCCCCCATAGGTGTAAATTAGATTTGTGAGTTAAGTGAGATTATACACATTAAGGTACTGCATCACTGATGTAAATATAAATAAATAAAAAATAATTTAACAAAATTAGAATTAAACACCCCTTCTTTACAGCCTTCTTAGGTGTAAAAAAGACAGAAGCAAAAACATATATGTTTTTTAAACCACACAGACCCATTCCGGGAGCTTAGATCTGTGGAGAAAATAATTTCCTCTTTAGAGATTCTGGCTTTAGTCGCTCCTGGTTTTTTGTGCCTTTGGAAACTGAAATAAAGAAAATGAGGGAACCAGTCTGAGCGGTACGTGGTGCAGTTCCAGTAATTTTCATAGTGTCTAATATTCTGACAATGTCAAAGTTTCTTTGAGAAGATAACAATCCAGACTCAGGTTCTCCCACTGCACACACCACTGTGATATTGAGGATCTGGACATTGTGGACTTTTAAGCCCAAGGTTATATGACTGGCTACAGCAGTTGCTTTTGTAAACAGAGAAGCCACAGGGCTTCTCAGAGTTCTTCCTCCTGTAGCCCCCAGTGCTTTTCCATGCCCCAAATTTTTCCTTCTGTTCTTTGTATTCATTTGCATTCCTTGCGCTCCCAAGTGGACACTTCCAGTTTTATTCCTGGGGACCACAGCAAACCATCCATACACAAAGAGAGTCTTTGTTAGCTGAAGTGATGGATTATGGTTATTGTGTTTATCATGTTTGTTATGTCTCAAGTCTGTCTACAGTGCCAATAGGAGCAGGGTGGGTGCTGAAGCCCATTCCCAGCAATGGCATCCCAGAAGTGGATGTTGGCTGGCTGCGTCCTTGAGTCAGTGTAGAAGCAGTGATCCATCCGAGTTTCCATATATTGTATACCTCCTGTATGATCACATAGCTCACTGCAATTCAAATTTCAAATCAATTAAAGCTTCCCTCCCTCCCCACTCCCCACTTTTTTTTTTTTTATGAATGGCACAGTTATACTTCTGGTGCTGCACTCCTGACACATCTCTGAGCCTTGTCTCCCAAGGAACCACCTGAGGTGGTGCCACAGGTATGTGATCAGAGGACTCCTATAGATGACCTATAGATGTACCTGCTTTTCCCACTCTTCTCAGAGTCTTGCTGCACTACAAAAGTGAGTTACTGTTTCTTGATGCTAGTAAACTAATTAATTGCCTCAGTAAGTCCATCAATCCAATAATTCTTCTGTGATATGCAATTACCGGACTTGTACCATGGAGGGTTGGAAGGGTTCTCTTGAATCTAGTTCCTTAATCATAGAAAATCTCTTCATCGAGACCTTTTTATCTTAAAAGACCTTTTTGTCTTAAAACTGAGTAGTGAGATTCTGGGGAGGATTTTGTGTATGCCTATATACCTGTGGCAAGTGGTGTTGCTTTTTTTTGATTGGTACACAGTTGCAGTTCCCTTGCTTCTCATTTCTTAGGAGGTATCTTTTAATTGCCAGCTGAAATTTATCTGTAATAGCCTTATGACTGTCTGATCTTGAGCCAAAACCTATTCCCATCTTAAATAGTTCTTTTCCCTTGATAGTGTTTAAGCTGATACATATTGCCAGGAAGTAATTTCTCGGCCTCTCTTGATAGGTTGTAAAAACCCTCTCTTCTTCTCAGGTAGCTTTCCCTCTCCTACTGGCCCTCTGTCGCTGTATGGCTCGATGAAACCAGGTGTACGTAGTATAAGAGCCTATGCAATGGCATACTGCTTCCCTCTTTCCACTGAAATTAGCCATTTGATAACTTTGAAGAACACATTTCCATTATGTAGAGTTCCATCAGTGATTGACTGGTCATGGTGATCCATGTCCTTCTTTAGCTATTTTTTGCTGATGAACTCCCATCTTTTGTCAGAAAGTATTATTAATATCTTGACTATGACTTGGTGCCCTTGTCCCAGTCAGCTGTATACCACTTACATTGCTCCCCAGTTTTCTAGCTTGTCCTGTGAGATATCTCCGTTTTGCTCTGCATTAATGACATCTCTCAACCTCACATCTTGAGCAGGTCTTGTCAATGATGTCTTCACTTTTAGACTAAGATATAAATGAAAGACTGGTCCAATTCCTCTGCTGGCAGCCTTTTTCGAACCCCGCCCTTCTTCAATAGCTGGGCCCTTACCTATTCTACAGATTTGCAAGTTGCTTGATAATTTCCTTTTGTGATTTTAGAGGACAGTCTCAGTCCCGTGCGCATGGGAACAGGAGCTGCCTCGCTGGCAGTCACCTGTGAGGGTCAGAGCTAGCAGGGAGAAATGCTGCTGGAGGGAGGAGATGCATTTCTATAACACACCCCCACCCCACCCTTCCCCTCTAAAATTTGGCTGATTGTCCTTGTCCCTGATGGTGGCATGGGAGGTTCAGAGGGTTGGAGGGAAGTTGTGACATCTAAGTGCTTCAACTGAGGCCAGGTAACAGTAAACCCAAAGGCCATATCAGCTTTCATTTCCATCCCTATCCTTCATTATCCTTTCTTTCAAACTTTGTACTGAAGCTGTTTGTTCTGGAAGATGAACCGCCCAATGTCTGTCATGTATGATTGCATCTCTGCCTCTGCAAGCCTTGGCCTTTCTCCAGCAGCTTTCTTCCCCTTCCTTGTAGCATACCTCCCACATCTGCTATTTGCTCCATATGCTACACCGGGCCTGAGATGAGGAATGTTTCCTGCTGGGTCACAATTTCAAATCTCCAGATTCTGGAAGAGAAATGATATATTTATTCCCTGAGCTTGGGCACACTCACCTGCTCAAGCCTTCTTTGCATTTTAGAGGTGACTGACTATTCCCAAGCCTTAGCTTCCATTGGCTTTTCTGACTTTACCTCCTCATTATATCTTCTCCTCCTCAGTGAGAACAGAAGCAGGGTAATGAATGCTTGTGGAAAAAAACCCCTGTGTTAGCCTGTGGCAGTTCGAGCCACATTAGAAATCCAAAACTCCAATTTTCAGGCTTCTCCACCCCCTCCCACAATTTATTCCAACACCGAAGGGAAACTTTCAGGCCAGAGGCTTCCATAGGGGAAGGGGGAAGTATATACATTTATTTACACAAATAAATATGCTGTACAAACTAGAAGCAACTATATCTATATATCATTACACTTCTCTCAGTCCTTTTAAGCCCCTCCCTTTAACTTAGTCCAGGAAGAGCCTTTCAAAGGCTGCTGGGTAATGCAGTCTCTCTCATGGGAGTGTTCTGGGTCCCTGAACACTCCCTAACCAACCTTCAGCTGTTTCTGGAAGTCCTTCCTTCCTCACAAAGTCCAAAATAGCTTTGAGTCCATCCTCCTCGGTGTGCTGTGTGATCTCTTTTGCTCTCAATCTCATACCTTGGCTGATAGGCTGCTGTAAGTGTAGTCCAGCTTATCACAGTAGGCATTGGAATCTTCATTCCTCCAAGTCAGTTTTCAGCTGCCCCTGGTCAGCTTCATAGGGCAACTCCCGAGCTCTTGGCCCGTCTCCAATTCTTGCCTGGGACTCTTCTCCCTGGCAACCGAGCCTCCTCCTCCAGCCCGTCTCTTGGCTCAGCTTCAATGCTGAGCCTCTCCTCCACTTTCCAGTGGAGGGAAA